ATTCTTATGGTTATAATGTAAAACACAATATTCAAACTATAAAAACTTATGTAAGAAAAGTAAATCTAAAGTAAGTTTAATTTATGTTAAATGAAATGTAGCTAAAAGAACTAAGTTAACTAAGCTAACTTCTAAACTTCAAAGTTAAACTTACTTCAACTAAACAAAGTTTTGTAATGAAAAGTTCAAAATTAAGAAAGCATCATTCCTCTTTACAATGAGTTTATGGTTAGTGAGGTAATTTAAATCATTTAAAATTATATAAAATTATATTGTGTCAAATAGGAACAATCATATTCTTTACGATATGTTGAGTGCATAAAGAATATTGATTAATCGAGAATTTGGTCTCTAAATTCATGGTTAGGTTGAGAGGATACTTGCGTCTACTCTAGAGCTTTCACTTTTCCCTCTCTTGAGGGCTAATAATTTCGCCTAAGATTACAAGAAACTAGACCACATTGGGGAGTTTGGTCTGCCACCCTAAAATCTCCAATTCTATGTCCATCAAAATATATTACTTTATTTATATGCACTTAACCCCATGGACTACATTCTCAACCATGAAATTGAATGTGACTCTTACCTTGTTGTAGAAAGCATAGCCCTGTCGAATTTTATGTTTTTCAATAAATTTTAACATTTTAATTGGCCAGATCAAAAAGCAAATGAAGATCAGAGTTTGAATCATCTCAATTTATTGACATTTAAAACCTTGCACAACAATATTAATTCTTCACGAAACCATAGCTCATTGTAGGGAGAAGGACAAAGAAGACTACTCAGAATTCATGAGAAAGATACAACAAAATATGGATCTAAAATAAAAAAGGATAGAACGCAACTTATCTTACACTCCTTCTCAAACAAATCCCTTGAAGTTCCCTTGAAGCATTTTCTCTCTTTACAATCACACTCAATTCTTTCTTAGAAATGAAATGAAGAAGAAATCTCTCATCTTCTCTCTCCTCTTACAATCTCTAGAAGAAAATCTTCTCTAAAACCTAAATCTATACTATCCTGTAAAGACTCCACATGCCACACACTCAAAGACCTCCTAGACTTCTTATGAGTCGCGCTAGCCTCTATTCTAAGGAAATTCAAAAATTCCTTCCTTTCTCTGAAGAGGCACACCCCTTCACATCAAGAGACAAATCCCTTCAACTAAGAGATACATCTCTTCATTCAAGAGCCTTTCTCAAGTGTCTAGATATATTAAACCCCTCCATGGGGCGTTTGAATTACTTGGAGCCATCTAGAACATCTCAAAAATAGTTAATAACGACCATTAATTTGTTTAAATTTGTCTCTGGGGCCTCTGGGGCCTCTAGCGCCTGTTTACTAGAGTCTCGTGCTCCTCTCCAAAATCTGTGAAATGGCGCCTCTAGCACCAGTATGCGGAAAAACTACATTTTGACTCCAAATTTATTCATTTTTGCTCCAAATGTGTAAAATCAATATACTTGCAACAAAACATGAAAATAGTCTTCTTTAAAGTACAATATCACCAAATTTAAGCATAAAATGTATACAAAAAATTGCACATTTTTTGTGTATCATTGTATATTTATTTGGTGATAGCTGGATAAGGCATCAAGGAAGCTCATCACTACGTAGCTGACTGTTATGTCAATGAATGTATCAATCTTCGGTAGGGGCTACCTATCTTTTGGGCAAACAATATTCAGATTCGTAAAATCCACAGTTATTCTCCATTTTTTGTATTCCTTCTATACCAACGTAATATTTGTGACCTAAGTTGGGTACTAGATCCCCCAGATGTAACTAGCCTCCATCAACTTCAGCACCTCCTCCCAAATTGGTCTGACCAGAGCTCAATTGATGACCAAAATTTTTACTTCATAGGTCGGGCGGTCGGATTGATGTTCAATACATTGTAGGTGATGTCAATCAATATTTCAAAATTTTTTGTTGTTATCCAGACAAAAACTTCACAATACTTGTTGAGAGTTTGGATCAAGAAGCTTTTATACCCTGCATACAAGTTTTTTCTTATTATAAAAATTTTATTAGCCTCTTCCGCATATGCAGAACATTTAAGGGTAGTCTCGTTGGTCTTCAGACCCCCTTACTGTCAATTCCAGATGTCGACTAGATCCTGCTCCACACTGATGATAACTTGAAGGTAACAACTGCGTGATTGTTCTAGGTTCCCTCAAACTATGATGATCACCTCGTCACTAGAACTTTACCATTACATCATATGAGGAGGTTGTCGCTCGGTAACTGTTCAATAAAGGATGACCGAAGATGGAGTTATACGTTGGTGAGGGCTAACCGCCAAGACTTCTTTCATATTTGTAAAATATTTATTAACTTCACCCCAGAATACCCCTAGAGTGATAATTCCCAGAGCTTCCTTCCTCTTACTAGAGAAACCGAAGAGTGGGATGGTCGACTCTGTCAATCGGTCGATTTTGAGCACACTCTTATTTAACATAATTTTGAACAGGATGTTTACAAAACTTGCATTGTTGACGACGATACTACTTACTTAGTAGTAATTGATCAAAGCACTAATCACGATGACATTATTATAAGGATTCCCTTCAAAGGCAAATTCACCTCGGTAAAGACAATGGGGAGGGGGATAATTGTGCTTCTTGGCGAAAGCAACTATGAATACCTCTCCAAATCGAAGCCTCTTTTGACTGGCCCGATGAAAACATTCTCTACCTACCTCGAGTTGGTTGGAACTATCTCAGTGAATTTTATAGCATTTGCGCGGATAATTTCATATAAGGACTGCTCTACTAGAGCTTTGCCCTATTTTTGGGTGGTTTCTCTAATAGTGATAAACTCCTTGAGTTTTTCCAATCTGATTAGGTCCTTGACTAATAAACAAAGGTGACAACATTCCTCCGTATCATGGCTGGTCTCGATGGTAATCATAGTACTTATGGGGTTTCTGATAAAAACTATGGTTCTTATTGATGGTGACTTCTTAAAATGCTTCTTATTTTGGACGAACTCCAACAGTTAGGTCACCATGAATCTAAGAGGAGTCAACCTATGTGCTTTGTAGTGCATCTTCTTATTATAGTAAGCGAGTCACTGGTCAAAGCATCGAGTCTGAGCTCTATTATTCTTGGCTCCATTGTGGTTTCGAGTATGCTAATCATTCTCATAGTGGGAGCGACCGAAAGGATTTTGCCTGTCTTTTGATTTTGTCCGTCATCTTGTGAGGTCCTCTTCTTCAAACGTAATCAAAAGTATCAACTCAGAGATGGGAGGAATTGGTAACACATTCCTTTTGCGACAATATGGTTCTTGGCCATCTCCAACAACTTTGCTAAATAGTTTGAATCTCACAATCTTAAGCCATATTTGTACCGCTCTATTCTAACTTCTTGCATCAAGGCAGTTATCACAATCAGCAGTTGGAGATTCTGCACCTCCAACATCTCCTTCTGGAAATAAGTGATTTAAGAATGAAGGCTCTCGTTCTCTCCTTGCCTGATCGGGAAAAAGGCTTGCGACTTTTTTAGAGGTTTTTGAGCGCTGGCAAAGTGGATCACGAACAACTTCTTGAAATCGGCAAAGAAGTGAATCACTCCCATCGACAAGCCATTGAACCATTTGAAGTCCGACTCCCTCAGTGTGGTAAGGAAAAACTAACACTTTATAGCATTTGTGATCTTCAACATACATACTGTCGACTCAATGGCAACTACATGGTAGATTGGATCAGTCTGACCATTATAAGAATTGAGGTGAGGATTTTAAACTTCTCTGGAGGCTTGGTCTCAAGGATCTATTGAGAGAAAACATTCTCTGGTTGTTGCTGTCAGTGTGCTTCTGCATGCGTGAACCGATGCCCTTCCATCAGCATGGACCCAACAATATCAATGTGTTGGAGGTCTTTTTGCCATTCGGGTGTCTGGCAGCTCTTCGCCCACTAGGCGCTGGAGGTTCCTCTCGGGAATGCTCCTTGAGGAGATTTGGTTTCTTGTGAGGCTCCACTGATAAGAAAGGTTGTTGCTCCTCTCTCCGAGTTATTGCATCTCAGATGGCGCTCACTTGAACCATCATATGATCTTTTAACTCTTGGACCTATTATTGCACAAATTCTCTGGTGCACTCTATGGATGCAGTGTCTCTAAGTTGAGTTTCATCTTCTTGGCAGTGTGCTATACTTTTGTCTAGGGCATGTCCTTGCTCTCCGCGTCACCATATCAAATGTTGAATCTAAAATTGTATTGTGGAACACACCTCGAGAGATATAGTGTGAGGAAGGGTGGGGAGAAAGAGAGGATAGAGTGCAGGATGAACAGTTAATACAAAAAATATTCACCTTTTTTTATTCGTAAAATGATTTCTATATGTAGACATAGGAGGCCCTTGGTAAAATTACATGTTAGCCCCTACTTAAATAAGTGTGTTACACATTATTATTGTTCTTATATACTTGCCCTTGCTTTAATAGGAGCATTAAAATGCATTATTGCCTCTTTGCTATCTTTTCTTAATCATAACTAACACTGGCTCCTTTCCATATCCATAATCGATATCAACACCTTTTTGCATGCCTAAGCTTTCCGAGCAGCGGGTCTTTGGGTCGGTCGCTTTAGCTGGTTTGGTTGGTCAGCCAACTTGACGGGCCATGTAAACAACCGACCAATTTGGTCTAACATGATTCGTGATCATTGTCATGGAATTCCAAATGTTGGTAGTGTACTTTGAAATGTTTGATCTCCTCGAGATTCGTGCTGACAATTTTTGGTTTATTCCCACATTTAAATTTCCCTAGAAACCTTCATACTCCAATAATAGTTATATTTAGTTGATAGCAGAAAAACAATAGATGTTAAAAAGTGAATTCTTGTATACTTTTTCAAGGTTATATATATTCCGGAAAATTCAGGAGCTTGATCCAAAGACTGAACTTTTTCACACAAAAAAAAATAAAATAAAACACAAACTTCAGAAGAAAAAAATTACAATTCTCCTCACATAATTATGTCAACACTTGCTGGAATTTACCAAAAATCATTGCAAGAGCAGCAGCCTTGCTTGAACTTATGATACCGATTCAGATCTTTGAGAACAATTTCTCTTTCAAAAATCCTCGACACAAATTTGAAAACTTCATGACAATCACCGCACACCCTAAGATTCTTTCCAATCCTCACAATTTTCTTATCTCCAAAGCACATCAATGAGAAGGCCAGCGCAAGCTTCTCAGTATGACCACACAAATCTCTGACTTTCTGCTCCTCGGTGTAATTATGAGCAACATTTGAAGGTTCGGATGCAAAACCATACTTCTCCATGAGTACAACTAGATTCTGCAAGAAATGATAAATCTTTCCTGAAATTGGGTTCGAGCAATCATTTACTGTGAATCTGTAAACTCTTCCTCTTATTTCCACCCAGCTAAATGCAACGCTAGCTTTTACTCCTATCTCCTTCATTAGCAATCTAACTCTTGCAAAATCCTCCCACCGATCTGCGTCGGCATAGATTCTACATAGCAACATATAATTTCCAACATCAAATTTATCAAAAAAGATGGCTCTTTTAAAGGCTAGTTCTCCTAACCCCAGGTTCTTGTGCTTCTTGCATGAAGAAAGAAGTGAACCCCATATTAACTTGGATGGCTCAAGCGGCATTTCTCTAACAAAATCAAATGCTTCATTCAGATTTCCTGCCCTTCCATACAAATCCACCATGCAGACATAGTGTTTCATCTCAGGAATGATGTTATAGTAACTTTTCATTGAATGAAAGAGCTTTCGACCTTCATCAACCAGTCCACCATGGCTGCAAGCTGAGAGTATGGCGATAAAGGTTATTCCATCTGGTAGAACTCCTGATTCCTTCATCTCATCAAATGCTTCGAGTGCTTTTCTACTTAAGCCATGGATCCCACATCCCGAAATCATTGTTGTCCAGGTTACCACATTCCTCTCTGACATTCTCTCAAAAACTAATATGGCAGATTCCAGGTTTCCAGTCTTCATATACATGTCAACAATAGAATTACACTCTAAAAGACTCTCTGCACCAAACATTTCACTGCTACATTTGAGAACGTAGCCGTGGACTTCCTTTCCCTTTCTTAGGTCTGTGGAAATCCCACAAATTTGCAGAACTAAGTTAAGCATGGTAGATCGCGGATACTGTGGACAAGCTATTACCATTTTTTGAAACAAGTCGATTGCTTCCTCAAAGGCACCAGCCGAAAAGTATGCATCCATGATGATATTCCATGAAACCATGTTTCTATCATCCATTTCATCAAAGATTCTCCTTGTATAGCATATATTTCCAGCCTTGGCATACATGTCTAGGAATGAAGTTTGAAGTATGACATCCGCCTTATCCATCATCCCACTTCTGAGAGAGTAACCATGAAGAACTTTGCCAAGTGAAATCTGCTTAAGTTGAGAAGAGGCAGATAATGCGGCTGAGAAAGTAATCCTATTGGGAATTTTCCCCTCTTCCAGCATTGCTGAGAAGAATTCCAGAGCTTGATGTCCAACCCGGTTTTGAGCGAAGCCAGAAATCATGGCAGTGAACAAGACAACATCATTTTCAGGCATTTCATCAAACAACTGGCGTGGTGACTTCAATTGTCCATTTCTGAAGTACAGCTCCACTAGACCAGTGCTAACGAAGAGGTCATGGATATGGCCTGATTTCAGTGCAAAGCCATGGAACTGCTCTCCATTGAGGAGAGGTTCTCCAAGAGCTGAAGAGAGCTTGAGAAGTGATGGGATTGTGAATTTGTCGGGTGTGACAGCTTGCTTCTGCCATTTCAAAACAAGGGGAAGAGCTTCTTTGGGCTTGCGGAGGTCAAGATGATACCTTATGATGGAGCTTAAAGATGATGTGGTGTAGAGAAACAGAGAATTGAAAGTAGGAAGATGTTTTGGCCGAAATGTTAGGCTTATTCCAAGCATAGGATTATATATGGATATAGTGTTTCCTGTCATACATAAAATAGGCCATACTTAAAACACCAGCAAAAAAGGTAGCATTTTCAAGGCAAAAAACAATAATAAATAGAAATTATATCGAAAAATATTAAGAATTAAAGAAAAATGGCGATCGAAAGATTTTCAAAACTCGATGAGTTTTGGTCTGACTTTCTATTGGCTTATTTATTGTTTTCAAAGATTTTAACCTCATCTACTAGCTAATTGGCCTGAACTATAAAGATCTATCTAAGATTAACATGATACATCAATAACCACTAAATATTTGGATGGTATATATTTACTTTGAATATTTGCATTTATTGAACACTCCAAATATAAGAAATAGAAGGGATTTGATCTAAGAAGAAAATTTATTCAGGCTAAGAAGAAAATTTATTCAAGTAATTCATATCCTCATTTTACAACAAAAAAAATGTGGCACTATGATGCCAAAATCAGGCGAGACTGGCGCTGGCAGCACCTCCATTTCGCTCTATTTCGTCCCATTTTAGCTCCAATTTACTTCATGTGTTATACCTACAAGATAAATATGAAAATAACATTTTTTAATTGTAATTTTATACAAAAATATGTGATAAATGTAAAAGAGATCAAGCATAGAAAGACATATCGAAATGCACCACATTAGAATTTTTTTCCTTGCTCGATTTAACTCTCAATTGCATAATTTTTGCTCCATTTTCTACAAAACTCTATTTCTTGAACCTGGAACTAATAACATACGAAATACATTCATTTAAATTGCAATATCAATTAAAATGAGCATAAAATGTATATAAAAAAGTAGGTAATTTTAGGCATGTCAATTCCCCCAAACTTAAACTTTAATTGTCCTCAAGTAACACTACAACTTTGTTTAATTGTCCTCAAGTAACACTACAACTTTAAAAATATGTTGATTTATGTTAGTGGGCTTCTCTAAGATGATCTAAAATTTAGTTCTAGAAATGTTATTGTCCAAATTACAAGAATTTTCAGTAAATTATATGATATCTAAGGTATTAGAATAATTAGTATTAAACTTAAGAATGTTGGGCTTCTATTTAATTCAAAAATAATTTAAAATTTTCCAAACATTCGATTCTTAGAAAAATTTTAATTTCAAAATTTATGAATTCTAAAAAAATAATTTTACTAATACTTTCTGAAATTAAGCTTAGGATTGATCCTAAGTTTACTTCCTTAGAAATATTTTAAGTGAAATCACATTTTATGCATAGGTCCTTGATCCACCTTAAAATAACATATTTTTAATGCATATTTTATGATTGTTTTGTGTATATTTTTATTGATATTTCACTTTAAAGGAAGATATTTTTTATGTTTTTAGTTTCAGGTACATGGAATGGACATTTGTAGAAGATGAGGGAAAAAAGAGCAAAAATGTTATAAATTGTATGGCGCCATAGCGTCGCCTCCTGGCTCTAAAGTGCCACAGACGCGTGCAGAGGGAGCTATAATGCCCAGACTGGCGCTATATTACCTGCAGCTTCCCTTCTAGAAGATCCATTGAGTTTGGTCAAATTTTGAAGGGGTGTTTTAAGCAACCTTTGGTTATTTTCAGAGATATATTAATATGGATGAAAACTGGATGAAAAAGAGGACTTTTTGGCAGCATTTGAAGGCTTTAGGAAGTCGCACTCCCACTTTTGTGGCTTTAGGAAGTCGCACTTTTGTGTTTAAGTGTGTTTTGTGTTGTAAGAGTAAGAGTTTGGAGAATTTTTCAAGGAGACCCCAGAATTTGCGTTAGGAGGAAGACATAAGGTACTTTGTATTTATGTTTAAGTTTTTGTTTCTAAGACTTGGATTTCAATACAAATTTGTTATTTTATTTTATTCTCCATGAATTCTGAATAGTTCTCTTTTATTCTCCTTGCTCTTAGGAACTAATCTTGTGGGATGAGATTGATTTAAAGATTTCTTTTTGCTTTTTTAAAAAATTGTGATGAAATTTTCATCGATTCTTTTTTAACTTTACAAATTGGCCACTTGTGAGGTTAAAATCTATTGAGAAACATAAAGAGATGAGAGAGCTATGATTTCACCAAACGAGTGACTGTCACACTTTATTCTGGGCAGGTCGTTGCGATCACCTAAGGGAGAGTGCAAATAGATAGAGAGATAAGTTTTGATGTTTATAGAATGACAGACTAGATTCTTTTTTAAATTCGATTTAGAGTTTGGATCGTAAGGGTCCCTAGTAGGTCCTATAGAGAGGGCACAATGTGTAATCTGGAGGTGAGAGGCCATAATCTACCCAGCACTACTACACAAGCTGGGGAAAAATTCTAAATTAGCCAATGTTCTTTACTATCACCGGGAGAGGTTAAAGAATAGAAATGCTCCTATTTGTCTTAATACATCATCATATTTTTAGTCATTTAATCCTACATAGATTAATATCTCATTGCAAGGGGAAAGATCATTACATATTATTCAAACTCTTTAGAATTACTTTTATTAAACTGTTAAATATAATTATTTCTATCTGCTTTTATTATTAAAACTCTTTAGAATTACTTTTAGTCTTTACTGTTGTTATCATTTTGTTTTTATTTAAATCTGCAAATTAAATATAATTTTCTTTTGAGTTTAACAAGCCAATTTAAATAGTTCAACTATCACCGTGGGATCAATAGTGGGATTTTTAAGAAAAATTTCATATTACTTAGAACGATACGTATACTTCCGTAGTACCTCTGATGTGAAATTTTATTATTTATTTTCCATATCATTTCATTAATTTACACTAGCCGCTAAATATATTGGGTCAACTTTTTGACAAAATTTTGGATATTAAAAATACAGGTAATTGCGGGTCGGGTCAAGTTTTTTACACTGTTGTCGGGATAGATAACAATTTTTTTTTTTTAATTTGGAAGGCAAATTTTTTTATTTACAATTTTGTTTGAATTGTAGATTTTAATTTTATTAAAAAGTAAAAATCGAAAAAGTTCAAAAAAATTAAAAATCCAAAATTAAAAAAATTGAAAATTATAAAAACCAAAAACACATAACCTAAAAATTCTATTTTATTTTGTTGTTTTATTTTATTTCCTAATATTTATCATTTGTATGCGTAGTTCGAGATCTGAAGGTTTAATGCCCTATGATTCTGAATTAGATTGTACTATAAGAAAAATTCAAAAACAAGGAAAACTTCATAATGCAAACACTTCACAAAATAATATTGAAATTCAAAATGTTGAAAAATGAACATCATAATTTACAAAAACCTTTAAGGGATTATATAGCAGATTAAATTAAATTAACTATTCAAACTCCTGCTGTAGCGGCTAACTCATTTGAAATTAAACCTGCAATAATACAAATGGTACAAAATAAACAATTTCGGGGAACATCAAATGAGGATCCAAATTTACATCTTGCAAGTTTTTAGAATTATGTGCTATATTTAAATATGATGGTGTATCAAATGATACCGTGAGACTTAAAATTTTACATATTTTATTAATGGATAAAGCTAAGATGTGGTTAAATTCATTAGCATCTGGATCTATTAGAACTTGGAGAGATTTGACACAAAAATTTCTAGTTAAGTATTTTCCCCTTTCAAAAAATGCTAAACTTAGAAATTTTATTCCTCAATTCTCGTATACACTCTGGAGGAATCAAAACTTCCAATCCTTGATCTTATTTTCTAAACTGAATAAGTAGAATTTTTGAGCCAAGCTGAAAATAACAAACCCATTCAATTCCACTATGAACAAAAAAAAAAAATCTAGGAAAATAGTTCCAGGGACCACAAGATCTCCATCGGTCTCAAGAAAATGGAGAAAACCATCATCATCGTTATCAAGTTATGTGAGGATGACTACATATTTGTTAAGTAGTAATAAGATTTTTGGGAAGATTGGCAGTTGGAGTCCTCATCAAAACTAATTCTAGTAGAAGATCAGATCTTCTTAGAAGTAGTCAGTCACCCTTACATTTGGCTCAAACACCTCAAGTATTACACTTGTGTTTTACACAAAAGTATCTTCTATCAAACTTGCATCAAACAATGTCAGTATTGTCCTTTCAGTCACTGACATGGAGTTGAATGGCTATGGAGAAGATTTGGAGGCCATGAAAATGCTAGAAGGAAACTGACCAAATGGAGAGACAAGAAACAACTGAATGAAAGGAAAAGTAAAAATTGAGAAAGCATAAATCCTTTTTTTCTTAACCATATATATAGGATATCAAAGGAAGTTTAAATGGCTCATACCTATACCTCTTTCTTTTGAAATTCATATCAAATCAGTGTGAAAATATGCAAAAACTAAATTTTTATTTGTGACATAAAATATTTTGCAGATGGGTCTTCAGCCCCTTCAGACAACACTAGACCCTAACTCACAAGAATTTGGTACAAAACTCATCCCTGTAAACTTAAATTTTTTGACACCCTCATCCTTCACTCGAAAATGAGAAATCAAATCGTTCGTATGGAATTATTTTAGCTGTATCCAAAGAGTCACCATCTCCACCTGGAGAGTCCCCATGTCTGCATAAAGGGCCATCAGCTCCTTCATCATGGGTGACATGACTATCTTCCTTTGAAGACCATCATACCAGGAAAAAAAGTCCACCATTTCATCCATATTGCGTGCTAGCAAACCTGGTCAACCCCACTATCGGTATCCCTATCAAAATTCTCAGGGTCAGGTAGGCGGCCGGGTGCACGTCTGCCCTAGACCGGAATGAAAGGTTCCTCAGCTACCCCTGGAGTGGAGGGTTGACCGTCATTTATTATTAAGGAGTCAATGATGTGCTCGGTCTCCTTTAGATGAAAAAAAAAATATATAAATGTGGAATGGAATAAATATAACATCTTAAGAAAATATATTTTTTTTGGTACCAATTATTTGCTACATCTTAGATGTGTGGAGGCTTTCATGAGCAAACAGTTAGAAAACCACTTGATTTTCTTCATTGATCAAATGAATTAGAGGTTCACTTTAACGCAATTGGATTTGGATCTGATCAACCAACTAATACCAATTGTTAAGCTGGTCACTGATGAATCAGATCCTTAATAAGGACCATTACACTAGTGATGTGCACGTCAGCCTAGCTCCCCATCTCACGAAGTAAAAACAAGTCAGAAGGATACACCTTCTCTTTCAACTTTTTTTTTTCTCTTGTACTAATTGCTTAACCACTTTTGTTCTTTGCAGTCAACTTCCTTATCCCAACCTCTTTGATTGGACTGGCCATCCTTCACCCTCCAATTTCTTACTCACCAGTTGGCCCTCATCCACATGTTTCATCTTTATCATTGATCGACTGCTCTAAGGCTTCTTTATACTCTCTTTTACGGGATGGTAGAGATTTTCAATTGAAAGTTTGAAGCCCTTCTACAAGGCCTCCTCGTTTTGACTAAAAAGCTAGATATTCAAAAATAGTGATGAAGAAATACTAATCACGCCTTATTTAATGGGAACACATGCCAAAAAATCTAGAGAGCTTAATTATTATAAGTACTTATTAAACAAAAAATGTGTCAAATTTTCCATTTAATTCCTTATTCTTATTGCAGCTATCTCTTTCAAAAAGTAAAAAAAAAAATTAGAGAACTAAATATGTACATACAAAATATGGACGCATGAATCTCGAGAAAATTCAATGGCTCTCTTTTAATGAACAACAAAGGACTGCTTCAAGGTAAACAAAAGAAAGAAATGCCAAGCATCATTTCCTTCGGTAGGAACTTTTGGTTGACGAAACAAAAGCTTAGCCGAACAAAAGAATATGCGGCACCTAGTCGAAGGGACATTCATTTGTAACCAGCTCCACTCCCTAAAATGATTTTGTGATTCCTCACAAAGATGGCCAAAGGACAGCACATTGAATATCCTTTCAATCCTTTAAGAAGGATTTTTGTCTGATGAGAATTTCCCGTCAGATTACGGTATACACCTTATGCCTGACAGTCCAAGTTCACCCTAACGATAAGAGTGCTTTTATTGAGGATTCTCTTGAGGAGGTTAATTGATGACTTTCCAGCTTAACGAAAAATTTCCAGCAAACCAAAGTCTTCTTCGCTGCCGAGCGGTTATCCGAAGACCAAACGACAACCCTAGTGGGTCATTAAATGCCCCTCTTCAAGCAGTTATGAATACGAAATAGTGTCAACGTTAGTTATGGATATTAAGGGGTCCTAAAGGAAGTTAAAAATATAAAAATGTGTAATAATGACTTGTAACATTCCAATTAAAAATGGAACAGATATGTAACATTATTAGAGACCCCTATGATCTATAAATAAGGGGTCATTTCTTCAATAAAGGACTACTGAATTTACCGCTTTAGGATTGGAGTTATTGTACACATTTTTTTTTAATCTTTTGCTCTCTCTTTCTTACTCTCATCCATCCCACACAATATACCTTGGATGCAATCTACAAAACATTTTTGGATTTAACAATACTAAAGTTTAGAGCCTATGTTATCAATCTCCCTAACTTTCTCTTAAACTCAATTAGTTTCTTGAATGCATAAGATATTTATGTTTATATGAACTATAATATACAACAATTTCATTAATTTACCTGTGAGAATACCTATATTTTTTTGCTTGCATATGCCCTAGTGTAGAAACCCTTGCTTGTTTGACTCTACAACTAGTCCCGATATTGTGATCCTTGCACATTTTTCACTATATTTAGACCCTACAACATGCCACTTCTAAAAGATGCCCTTGCATTTACAAAGTGATTTAAAGAATTTGGTCATGATTTTTGATACAAAAATTTATGTTGGCTATCGATTACTAAACACAGCCCTCCACTTTTTAAATCTGAAGCATGAGTCCCAACAAACATAGTGTAACTTTATGTATCAATGTAATGGTTAAATTTTGTTTTGATTTGTGTGGAAATGAAATTGTGATATTAATTTGCGTCAGTACTTACATGTGATTTGGTGGCAATAATTAGATATTACTATTTTGCTATTCAATTAAATTATCTATAATTTGAAAAAGTTTCTCCTATGTTGTCAAAATTTTAATAGCTTTAATAAATGGCCTATGTTTTTTAAGAAGTGCATCACATACTTTGCCATCCAAATCAAGTAGGAAACTATAATTAAGTGAACTATCTACATGCATCAGGTTTTAACTATGCTACAAGGATCTTCAACTCAGAAATTTAACAGAATAAAAAATATTTTAGGAAATTTTAATGTAAGCTGAATAAGTTGACCTTCAGATATATTAGATTCGCTTTGAGACCAGCAAAATTAAAATCTATGTCAGATTAACCTCAAAGTAAAACCTCATAAAACAGTACCGGGATACTTTGTTTCCAACTAAAATGCGCCATTCGGTCCTCAATCAAGTTAAACCAAATGTCACTAAGGATTTAACACTTCTCAGATCCATTGGGATAACCTTAATAACCATGATCAATATTATTGGCTTCTTATTATTGACCGGGTAAGACTTTTAATATAAATTTAATTAATTAAGACTGAGTGCACGCTGAACTTACATGTGCTCGAGAGCACTAATCTCGAGAGAACTCTTTAATTTAGATTATGATTGTGAAAAATCCAACGGTGAATCCGTCCTCAATCAAGTTAGTCCTTTTAAAAATTGTTGTTTCAATGTAATCTGACTAATTTGTTAAAGCTGACAGTTGAACTGCTCAACTCTAAGATTGAGAGCTGTTGAGTCCTTACTAAAAATAATAGAGGAAAAAGGATGTAGAGCACAACATTTTTTGAACTTGCCATTATATGTGCTAAGTTTTAATAAATTTAATATTAAAATTATTGAACCAATCAAACCTTTCCTTATTTACAATATCTGGTCCTATTCTTAAATACTTTCTGAGAATACGAGTGGGCTTATTTTAGACTTTACCTGCCCTTTTCCACTGGAAATTGATTACCAAAAATATCCGAGAAGATTATATATGATTTTTTTTCTGTAATTAATAGATCTCATTACCACAAATATCCGAGGAAATTATATCTGATTTTCTCTTTAATTACTTGATCTCGCAATTTTTTAGTACTTGACCGTTAGGTACCTTCATGGTCATCGTCTCAATTCCCGACCGTTAACTCCCCAAATTCAAAATTACAAATACCAGTCCATCACCCACAACCCTACGTTACCAAACTCACAATCAGCTTTCCCTGCTACTGCTCCTCACAAAGCCAACAACATTTCAAGAACCCCGGCAACGAAAATAAGAGCTTGGATCTGAGAATTAGAATTGGATTTCTAATACTCAGATCCCTCTCCTTCTCTGAGGATTTAGCAAATCGATGCGGGATCATTCACATTGCAAGCCATTGCTTTAGCATCATATTCTTCGGCGGTTTCTCGTCAAGATGCCGGTTTCCACTCGGTCGCAACTCTCCGGCTGGAAGTCCGGCGAACTGTGTGGATCGCCGGGTCTCCGTCGTTCTTTTATTAAAAATCCACACCAAGGCCTCAAGGAGAAAATGAAAGCCCTTACCGCATTGTACGAGCAGCACAAACAGCCTTTAGCTCCAAGCCATCAACTAACCATCGATCTCATCGATTGCGATGGCAAGAAGCTCGGTGAAGACAAAAAGAAAGAGCAAGAAGAGATGAAGAAAAGAAGAGAGGGAGAATCAGGAATTCCAAAGAAAAAGACCACTTTGTTCCCCAAAATTGAAGCTAAGGAGAACTTTGAACCGAAGTTCTCTGATGGGGTTTCGGCCTGCACAATGCCACGGAAAGCGGCTACAGCCGCCGGAGCTGCGGCGAGAAGGACTTCAACGGGTTCGATGTCGGATGGGAGAGTTTTGATGGGGATAACGAAGAATAACGAGGAGTTCGAGGCGGCCGAAGATATGGGGAGTCGTATAATGGTGTTTGTCCGGCTAAGGCCAATGGGAAAGAAAGAGGACGAAACCGGCTTAAGGAGCTGCGTTAGAATTGTCAATAAAAGAGATGTGTATCTAACTGATTGTGCTTCGGAGACGGACTATCTCAGGCTCAAGAGAGTTCGGGGCCGCCATTTCTGCTTCGATGCCTCTTTCCCAGAGTCTACTTCACAACAAGAAGTGTACTCTACCACGTAAGTGCAATATCTCATACAATGAGAATTTGACCATATGCTGGTGACTTTATTATAAGAATGAAATTATCCTTGACGACAAAGTTTAGCTTTTTAACTTCTACCTTTTTTGTATTTTATTTCCCCTAGAAAACCACTTACGCTTAAATTTATGGTCATTTTATATGTTTAATATGCTTTCCTCTCATTATCCTTGTATCCAACTTAGATGGCCTGCTAACAGATGATTAACTTTACATCTTCTCACGTCTATTGATAGAATGTGAATAAAAAAATAATCAATTTTGACTAACACATCATCAATAGTCAGATTCATTTTAAACGTAAAGTATAATCATATATATGAGAGTCAGCAATAACATACTTTTACACCAATTTGTTTTCTTAACTAATTAATGTTAGACTAAATCTAAGACTGCATGCTTTAATGTATAATTTCTAAGAAAACTGCTTTAAAATAAAAAATCTTAATCTTTTATTACCTGCACATATGCAGAACCACAAAGCTCGTGGAAAGTGTTCTTGAAGGCAGGAATGGCTCTGTGTTTTGCTACGGGGCAACAGGTGCAGGAAAGACATACACAATGCTGGGTACAATGGAGAATCCTGGGGTCATGGCATTGGCCATGAAAGACCTCTTCTCAAAAATTAAACAGAAAAGCTTGGATGGAAAGCACTCTGTGCTGCTTTCCTATCTTGAGGTGTATAATGAGACAGTTAGAGACCTTCTATCACCTGGGCGACCACTTATCCTACGAGAAGATAAACAGGCTAGCGATTTCTTCAAATAACTAATGGAATCATAGCCTTATTAAACAGCCTTTTTTCCTTGATAAATCATCTATATGCTAATGTTCTGAGCCTTATTAACAAACTTATATTCTCATTTTTCAGGGAATCATAGCAGCTGGACTCACTCAGTACAGAGCTTATTCAACAGATGAAGTAATTCAAATCTCATGACAAATCCGTCCATCAGTTTCCACATTTCTACAAAAAATTGTAATATAAAGCTTCTCATTTCTCAAATTCTGTTTTCTATTTCAGGTTATGAAATTGCTGCAGCAAGGAAATCTAAACCGGACAACCGAACCCACAAGAGTGAATGAGACCTCTTCAAGATCCCATGCTATACTTCAAGTACGTCTTCCCTTCCCTTTCTCGAGGAACACAGACTGATCCTTGTCCTTAATAGAAATGTCTAACCTGAACTCATACTTGAACAAAGGTTGTCGCAGAATATCAAGTCAAAAATTCAGTTAATGTGGTCACAAGAGTAGGGAAGCTGTCTCTTATTGATCTTGCTGGTTCAGAGAGAGCCCTTGCAACAGATCAAAGATCCCAAAGGTCAATTGAAGGCGCCAACATCAATAGATCCCTACTTGCTTTGAGCAGCTGCATCAATGCCCTTGTGGAGGGAAAGAAGCACATCCCTTACCGTAATTCAAAGCTCACACAGCTTCTCAAGGACTCATTGGGTGGTCCATGCAATACTGTAATGATTGCCAATATCAGCCCCAGCCATATCTCGTTTAATGAGACTCAGAACACTCTCCATTGGGCTGATCGAGCGAAAGAAATAAGAAATAAGGTTTGTTTTAGTCTCTCAACATGTTTGATGTAGAATATAATAATTATTTTGTGCATAATATTCTACGTTTTTGCATTTGTACTTATCTTTGCATGTCCATGTTCATGTCAGGCATGCCCTGCAAGTGAGGAAGCAGTGCAAATCTCAGAGTCTGAAACTGAAAATGCAAAATTAATGCTTGAGCTACAAAAGGAAAATATTGAGCTGAGGGAGCAAACAGTGCTCCTCCAGCAGAAGATCATGACTGCTCAAGCTCAAGCATTGGCATCGAACTCCCCTCAGCAACAACCACCTGCCCCCTGTCCTCTCCCATGCACGCCATCTGCAAAACATCGTAGGCACAAACTATCCATTCTCGGTGGTGCCAACTGCTTCAGCACACCTGATTCAACCAAAAGAAAAACAGCAGCAGAGAAAATAACACAAGAGTTGCAGAGGAGAGTAGAGGAGTTAGAAACTGAGATTGAGAGGCTTAAGAGCGAACATATTGTTCAGCTTAAGCAGAAGGATGATTTAATTCGTGAATTGATTCTGAAGGAAGGCGCAAAGGAGGGCGGAGACAAGGTTAAAAGCAGTGTGGGAAAGAGAGGAAGCATGGTGAAAAAGGATTTGAAGAGCCCAAGCCATGGTAGCACTTCTCCTCAGACAAATGCTAAGAAGAGGAGCTTCTGGGCTACTAGTGCTGCTAATAGTCCATCGGTCGTTGCAGCTAATGGAAGGAAGACTAGAAGCCATGTGGCTCCACAGTCTCCTCCAGTTCCTTCAATGATTCTTCCAGTATGAATCTTTATCCATTTTTTTTTTAAATAACATCCCTTATTTTCATGTATCAAGCCAAGAAAAAGAAGTAGCGTGTAAGTAAACTGGCAATTACGTTTCAGGAAATTTTTAAGACAACAAATTTTATGTTTCTTATATTGCAAAATTCATAGGCGGTAACATCGAAGTGAAATGTGAGTATAATGTTTACTAAAAAAATGAGCTTTATAAAAGAGGGCAATAATTAATGATACTCTTTCAATGCAAAGATGCCTTTTTTAAAATATCATAAATATACAAAGAAGAAAAATATAATGATCAAGACTATGCATTTATTTGGTTATGGATTTTTCTTATCCTACGAGTGAATAAATTCTCCTTTAATATAGACTTTATTATTATAGCTTTCAAATATAAGATCAAAATCATTCATTATATGAGCATTAGAACCGATAATCATGCTAACCATTGTTTGCACTTATTTGATGAATAATTAAATTATTATAAAAATTACTGGAATTAAGTAAATTTCATGTCTTGGAAAAAAAGATGTAATAACAGAAGTGGAAAGCTCGTAGGAGGAAAAATTCCAGTTCATAAATTTACATATATATAGTCTTTCTTGAAAAAGAGTCTCACAAGTGTATTTGTTGTCAACTAAAAACAAAACAAAAGCTAATAACAAGTGTATTGTGCTTCTATTTGTGAGTGATTTCTTACTGATGCAGCTTGAACATCACTTTTTCTTGTTTGTGTTTATGTTGGATCCGCACGCTGCAAATCACTTTCTCCAGCCAGGTTTTGCATGGACAAAACAGAATGCGGCTTCAAGGCAGTGACTTGGAAGCGGGCATCAAGTCAATGACAATGGAGCAGTGACTAAAGATGAAGATGAAGAAGCCACAAATTTTCTTTTCATTTCTTTATGTATTTCTCAATCTCTGCTTATTGGACAATTTTTTTTGCCACGTTATTCAGTCATCAACAAATATAGGTAGTTTCATTTCTAAATGTGTTGACGAATTCCGATCTTTACGATGTAAATTCAGCAAATATTAATACCAGTTGAGAACCCAAAGTTCCCAATCTTCTGTTGTACATTGCAAAACTTGTAATTAAAGGCTTCTACAGGCGAATAAAATCGTTCATGTAAAATGAGACCAAGAGCGATTGTTTTATGTAAAGTTTGGGAAGATATGCTGTATTGACCAACCATTTTATCACTTTACAACAGGCAACATATTGGTTACCTAATACTCTATACCATTTAACACTGTTGGTTTACTTGTAAGTTATAAAAAATGCTTATTATCTGAGAACGATTTTCAACGTACTTAATCATTGTACTCACATAGGCTCTATTGCTAAAACAATTTCCTCTTCTATATTCCTATTGTATCACTACATGTTCATATTTTTAAAGTTTCCCTATTATATGACATAATGATTTGGACTAATTGTTACAATATATCACAAATTAAATAACAGTTCATAAAACATCACATGTTCATGTTTATAAAATTTCTACATTATAAGACATAATAATTTGGACTATTCACTGCAATATATCACCAATTGTTGAATTTGGCTTTGGGGTGGGGGGAGTTAACAATAATGAATAGTAATTTATCAATCTTCAGATGGTTGGGCCATACCTACTGGCCGAGCTTGGTCGATGTCGGTCAATCAGTTGGTATGGCCCGTTTGTCCATCCATGACCCCTTATAAAAATTCTTTTGGCATTTTTGGGATAGTTGGAGATGCTAGGGAACTTGATCTTCCTAAGGGGAAGCGATTTTGTCGTGGTTGGCTCGAATACCCTTTGTCTCATTTCTAGCTGAGTGGCATGTCCTAGCATCCTCCAGTCATCTTTAGTTTGTGTTTTTGTTTGGTCAGTTTTGGCCTTATTGGCTTGGCTCGATCAGTTTCACATGATCGAACAAGTTAGCATCATGATTTTCTATTAGTGGAGCCACCTTCATTGTACTATTTTTTATTAGACCATTAGATCTCCTCAAGATCTGTACTGACACTATTTCCATGTACATATTTTAGTTTCTCGAGTCTTCTGCTTCTAGAAAATAACGATGTGATAAGAGTAAGAGAATTAATTGCAAAGGTATATTTTGTTGCTATTTAATTAATTGCTCAATCATTAAAATCTCATTTTTTGTGCCTTTGATTCTTATAAATAAAATGTTATTGGACACCTTCCCATTCCTTTTTGCTGCTCCGCAGCACCTCCTGCTTGAATCCATCAGTTTTTGGGTGTTATGATAGAGAATGTATCAACCCTCTTTGATGACATTGCCAACAAAGATATGATCCGTGTGGCCTTTAGAAAATCAAAAGGCAAATACCGCTATGTTGAACCCATTATTGGTCACATATGATTCACATGTACCTGTCAAACTCACTTTTATGAAGACTCACCCAACTTACTTGTACACAACCTTAGATCAGGGTTATCTTTCTTCGGCCTCATTAGAGCAAGCCCAAGCTCCCATCCCTTGGTTGGGTGGCTTAGGGTTTTGACCAGGTGTGGAACCCTAATTTACCCCCATGGGTAAGACATGCCCCAAATCACCCAAATCAATATGAAACCCTAAGGACTTTCCTATGGACCCTAGGAACCACCTTAACTAAAAAATCTACATTGGGAGAGGGGTCTACAAAATTGAACCCAAGTTTCACCAAAGGTCTCCCTAAATATACAAAACACTAAAAATCTCCTTAAACCTTAATGTGCCCTTTTGACCCAAAATTTGGTGGCACCTTAGGATGGTCAAAATCAATTGGGCCTATCCCAATTTTGGTCAAATATTAGTCAAATTACCACATCCTCGTCCAATTGAGTCTCACCAAACATGGCCCTAACACCACACCATTTAAAGGACCCAATTGTCACCATGGGGCTACCCCCATAATTCACTTAATTAATTAATTAGGTGAATTTTCACTATTAGAGCTTAGACTAAAAGAAAACCTAACCCATTTAGCCCAAATTCATGACCCTAAAACAAAACCCAACCTAAACCATTCGCCTATGGCCCATCCACCTACCATGATACATGGATAACACTAAGCCAAACAAGGCAAAATCCAACCCTTAATTGTTGAGCTAGGCATCATCCACCATGACTCACAATGGGAGGAACACATGTCACATACCCCGTGATTTGTATTACCCACCTAAAGGGCTTTCAATCACCTTAAAGCTTCCTTACATGCCTCCAAGATCTTCACCATGGTCAAGCTGTCGTGTAAACTTGCAATGTTTCCCTCCACTGCTCAAAACCCTCTAAAATCTCTCTGAGAACTCTTTAAGGAGCCACCCAAGCTTTTCCAATCATAGCTAAGCTCTCCCATAGCCTCTTATGGCTACTTAAGAAAGGAACCCAAGAGCCTCTACACACGACCAAACTCCATATTCAACCTTGCAAACCTTTGCTCTCAACAAAGAAAATGTTCCTATTGACCTAGGCAATAGATCCCCTATGTCCTTAAGCCACAACAACCACTAGAAAACCTAATTTCCCTGCCCCAATCTAGGATAATTTTTGGCCTTGACATAAAACTAAACCTTCCAAAAGCTTCCTTGAGCCTCAAGACAATCTTCCCAATCAAAATTATTGCCTACAGAGCTCTCCAATCTTTTCTAGCACTAACCCGAGCCACCATTTGGTCTAGCTCATAGCTAGGACCAATTTTAGTTCAATTGAAGCTAGGAGGTTGTTCATGACATCAAGGTGAAGTTCTCTATCAAGCCTAATCAAGTCCACAACTCTTGGAATAATGTATGGATTAAAATCCCTAAAATTAGCCTTAGGGCTGGTCTTTTGTGAAAGAAATGAACACTACATGCTCATTGAACCATATTGATATATTTGTCTAGCTTAAATGAAGCTATAGGAACAAGCTCTGAGTAATTTGGTTAAGAATAGAAGGATATCTTAGGATTTGATCATAGATGGTTTTCGGTTCTCTGTCCTATGGGGACGATGAACAAATGCCATATGTTTCTGTATTAGAAATGTATGGCAGAGATTAAATTGGAGCACCAAACCGCGGGGAGAGGATAACCAGATTGTGGGATAGCGTGGTAACCACATGGAAAGCACACTCAATCAAGGAGCATGATCCCAACACAATATGTGCGTGCTTAGTGTGTAATTACTTCAATTTCAGTCCCCTGCAATGATGCCAAAACTTGACTCCCACTGCCTGTATGTGCTTGCACTCTTAATTCTCGACTAAGTGTTATTTAACACATAATTCTTGTTTTTCTACACAATTCAATTTTTCACTCTAGGGATACTATGCAAGTGCACGTATCATTTCAAATAATATAAGAATTTCGTTTAGTACCCAAGTATCGATCCAATTGCGAAGGAAAAACTCTTTCTATTGACTTAGTAAAACTCTACTTAAACTACAGGTAACTTATATATAAATTAAGGTTTAATTTGTATAAAAAAGTAAATATAACCAATAAATTCTATTTTTAATCTTAAAAAGATTGCTAAATGTTTCTAAACTAGATTTATGTAGAAGAGTTCAAATTGTATGAAAATTCTTCTCCTTGCAATGAGATTATAATCTTTGTAGGAATAGAATGTTTATAAATTTAAATGTAGTTTTATGAAAAATAAAAGCATGCCTATTCTTTTGCCTCTCTAAGTGCAAAAATAATATTGGCTAACCAAGAGTTATGTTCCTAAATCCTTGGTTATGTTGTGTAGGTTCTAGCCTGTCACCCTAGAGTACTCATGCAATCTCTCAGTTGGGGTTAACATAGCCTTAAGCTCCAAACCTTAGATCAATTTGTTAAGGTTCTAGCCTGTCACCCTAGAATCACCAATTTACACCTGTCAAATCTTATCTCCCTATCTATTTGCACTCACCCCAAGATTACTTTTTTTCATCCTAAAGGTTAGTGTGGTAATTACTAATTGAGGAAAAGCATAGGCCTCTTGGTTATTACATTTTATTTTAACTTATGAATTGATAACTTATGAATTGACCAAATTGCATAAGTAATTTAAGCATGAAGTAATATACCATCAAAATATTGAAATAAAAGCAATTCTAAACAGTTCTTTTCTTACACATGATTATTTCTCATCACAAGGAGAAAGATAAAGAAAACTACTTGATTTCACAAGAAAAATGCAATAACACATGGATTTATATTTAAAATCTGGTTTACACAATAAAATTTAACAAACTAAAAAAAAGTACAAAAAATTTATCTCAAACTCCTCCCAAAGAAAATCTTCGGAAGTTCCTTTGAAGAATTCTCAAACTATCCCTTAAAATCTTCCTCCACTAGACATACCCCCTCACCTGAAGAGACACACACCACACACACCTTCCTTTCTCTCCTCTCTCTCTCTCTCCTCACACCACCCTCTTACAAAAATAACCTGTAACAACTTCTCTCCATTTCACTTGAATAGACACACCCTTATATAGCCCCTGAAATCCCCAAGAGTTACTTCAAATGCCCCTTCAAAATTCAAACAAATATATTATATCTTAAAAAAAATTGATTCTAGTGCCTAGGCGCCAGTCTGGGCACTTAGGCACCAACCTTCTGGAAGCTTGAAATAGCTGCCTGGCTCTTAGGCGCCATGGTGATGGGCTCTCTATTTTCAAGTACAGGGTCTGACACTAAGGTGCGGAAAACACTTTGTGCTTCTTTGCTCCATTTTACCCCATTTTGCTCAATTTTCGCTCTTTTTTCTCCAAAAATCTATCACTTTTACCTGAAACCAAAAATAGATAAAATATATTTCATTAAAGTGCAATATCATTAAAAATTAGCATAAAATGTATATAAAAAAGTAGAACATTTTTAATCATGTTAAAATCCCCCAAAATTTACTATTATTTTTCCTCAAGTAACTCTCTAATGTTATTAGTCATATGCTTTAACTTATGGTAGTGGGTTTCATTAAAGAATCTTATAGTTTTTCCCCATAAATGAGATAGTGTAAATTTTAGAAAACTTTTCATTAACTCTGATTAGAACTAGGGTATAAGAATATCTAGTAATCATGTTAAGAATTCTAATTTTCTATTCATTTCAAAAATAATTTTGATTTGTCAAACTTAGGAATCCTAGAAGAATTTAAAGATAGAATTATATGAGA